TGCTGAATACAGCTTCTGGTATCTCAGCAACATTTCAGCTTGGAAATATGAAAGGCTTTTTTTTTTTTAAACCCGCCGTTCGTCTTTGTCAATCTAGCGCAGGTGTCTGAAAATAATACCTAGATAAATATCGCCGATTATTTATGAAACTTTCTTTTGTACGAACATTTATTGTTCTTGCTGCAGAATTCTGTTTGTTTGAGACAGGCAAACATTTAGCGTTACAGCAAGGAAAGAATGACTAATTCAGGAGAATGGTTGGGCCGCGGTTAACCGTACTGATAATGGAATCTGTGTTACCTTTTTAAATGATATTCATTTTCATATTTGCTTAATAACCTCAAGTTCAACAGCAATTGGCTCTAAGTTAACCCCGTAGCCACTAAATTTGCTTTGTCTTGCGATTGCCACATGGTCATTCTTAATCAATATCGACAGAGGTCAACATAATTTCCTTCACTTTGCAGTAATTGCCAACTGATAATGCAGATTCTTGATGGATAAATGTGTTTTCCATTTTGGCTTATACATTTTTATTTTTTTTACAAAATATATTGTGTTTTCCAAATTGATTTAAAAAGTCTCTCAGGGTTATTTACAAAAGTGAGAATTGAATTTCAAATTTAAGGTAAAAGTAGCTATCTCTAAACTAGGTATGCTTTTAATTTGGCTACTCTGGCCTTAAAGTTGAAATTCACTCTGAATTCACCTTGAATTCTCATTGTCGTCAACAGTGGCGGAACTACTGCAGTCTCAGGGGTGGCATGTTCAGGGGCCCATTGGATGGCCCATGCTGTTAGGGCCACCCGATGCTATGTATTTCCAGGGGGCCCGGTCAGCGCTGCTGTGCTTTACCAGCGCTAGAGGAAACAGGAGGGTGACTAAACCATTGTGCATATGTGATTATTTGTGAATGTGTCTTACTGTATGTATGTGTGTGCGTGTATGTATGTATGTGTGTTTTTCTGTATGTGTCTGCATGTGTATCTGTATGTCTGCATATCTGTATGTCAGTGTGTGCCCTGCACATCTGTATGTGTGTCACTGTTTGTATCTGTATGAGTGTCATTCTGTGTATTTGAATGTTTGTCCTTAAGTGTTTGTGTATCTGTCTGTATGTGTGTCTGTGTATCCACATGTGTCAGTGTGTGCTTGCAAATCTATATTTGTGTCACTGTTTGTATCTATAGGAGTGTCATTCTGTGTATCTCAAAGTGTGTAATTGTTGTGGCTCCCGGCCAACCGCATGGCGCTGCTGTGCCCGACCGGCACGACCTCGCTGATATTGCGAGTGATATTGCTCCTCCGCGTCTTCTGGGCGTTGCGCCCAAATCAAAGTTGGCGCTGACCACGTGGTCGCGCACACCACAAGCTCCGCCCTTCAAATTTATACGGACGTGCGCGTGACGTCACGACCAATCAGAGCCCAGAGAGGGATATTTAAATCCTTAATTCACTCCAGTTCTGTCATGGTACCTGTAATTTCCACCTCTGAGGAGGCCAGGCACCTGGACAGGCTCTCTTCTAAAGGGGCTTCTATGCCCAAGCATTTCGGCAATATCAGCCGTTTTCATGCCGGCCGCGCTAGCTACTCCCCCTTTTATGATGCGACGGCCAATAGTCAACGTCATGACGTCATCATCGACACGAACCGCCAGAAACCGCAATTCCGGACCTTTTGGGGGCGTGGTCATCAATTAAGGTGACAAGGTACTTAAGGGAAGCCTGTACTACAACTCATTGCCCTGTCATGGTTCTAGCTTGCTAGTCACTCAGCGCGTTCTTCTCATTGTGTTTTTCAGTTTTGACCTGGCTTGTACTTTTGTCCTGCTTCTCTCTCCTCTCCTTAGACCCGGCTTGTCCCTCGCTTACCTGTCCTCTGGCTCCCTCGACCTCGGCTTATCTTTTGACCATTCTTGTCTTGTCTGTACGTTAGTCCGGCCATTCTAAGGTCCGGTGTACGTACCTCTTTCTGTCCGCACTCTGCGTATTGGATCCCTGCCACGATCCTGACAAGTTCCTTGCCCTGTAGTGGTTTCCTGTTCCTGGTTCCCGATAATGCGTTTATCTTTGTGAATCTGACTTCCTGGTATCCTGATCTTGGCTTTTCCCTGGTTATTCCGAATTCTGGTTCCCCTGACTTGGCTTGTTTAAACGGTATCTGAGTATTTTTGGCTTCCTTGACCTTGGCTTTCCCTTTGACCATTCTCTATCTATAGCGTATTAGTCCGGCCATTCTAAGGTTCGGTTTACGCTCTGTCCTTTTATTTCCTTTCCTTTTTTATCTATATGTTTACATAGTTTCTGCGTGTTGGACCACACCAGCAGCCGTGACAGTAATTCTGTGTGTCTGTGTAGGTGCATGTGTGTCTGTGTGTGTGTATATATATATATATATATATATATCTGTGTGTGTGTATGTGTACCTGTGTGTATAGTTTGTGTGTCTACATGTGTGCGTGTGTGTATGTGTGTCTGTGTATCAGCAGCATGTGTTCCCGTGTATGTAACTGTATGTGTTATATGGTGTGCATCTGTGTGTTTGTATGAATGAGACACATTGAGAGGCGTGAGTGTGACACATGGAGGGCCTGGGGTGGTGGGAGATAGGGGGGTGAGACGTATATGGGAGGCCCCAGGGCAATTTTTCCACTGGGGCCCCATGGTTTCCAGTTATGCCTCTGGTTGTCAATAACACTGTCTGTGTGTGTGTGTTTACATGTGTGTGCTAGTATGCATCTGTGTGGTAACGTGTATCTATATTGGTCTATGTTAGCATGTGCTAAATATGTTTATGTGTTTCTAATTTGGTTGGTGTGTGGCAGTTATGCATGTGAAATGGCTAGTTATTAATATTTATAAAAACGTACATTTACCTTTGATATGTGTGAATGTATATTTCTAAAAATGGATTTGGTGTTGATAATTAGCTGTTTATTAGTGGCTTGTTATGTAGGCTTAGCTATTCATTTATGTATTTGTGTAGATGAGGGAGGCTGAAAACGATCTTTCACGGGGCCCTTACAGAGGGTAATGGTATTCTAGCTCTCTAAGTGAAATTCATCCTACCTCCTAATACACACAGTCTTACTCACACTGGCCATCATCTTCAATAGTATACCTCCCAGTATTTCAAATAGACAAAGAGAGACACTTTAATTTTAAGGGTGTGAAAGTGGCCAGGAGCGGGGCTGTTCTGAGAATTTTCAAATGTCATGCTAAAAACAATTTATGCAACTAAAATGCAATTTAGCACCAAGAACAGTGTATCTTATGTTCACAGAAAATTTCTAAACACATCTTTAAAGGAACACTATAGTGTCAGGAAAGCAAACATGTATTCCTGACACAATAGTGCTAAAATCACTGTTTAGGAGCCGGGTCCTCTTTGAGTTGCTTGGAAAAGGTGTTTTTTTCCTCACCTTTTCTCCCATGCCAAACCGGTCTCGCCATGGCTGTCCCTGCCTGCCTCCACCTCCAAAGTTGAGATCATAAAACTTGATGATCTCAGCCAATCAAATGCTTCCCATAGGAAAGCATAGGAAGGCTATTGCGCATGATCTGCAAAACACAGTGCTACACCAATCAGCATCTCCTCATAGAGATGTATTGAATTATTGCATCTCTATGGGGAGTGTTTAGTGCCTCCAGGCAGGGCGTGAAGACACTGAATGTCAGTGCTGCACATTGTGCTGCACTGATCAGGAAGCACCTCTAGTAGCCTTCTGAGTGACTGCCACTAGAGGTGTTACTAAGCAGCAATTTAATGAAAATGCAGTGTTTCTCTGAAAAGGTAGCCTTTACATTAAAAAGCCAGCAGGGATAGGCTATATACACCAGAACAGCTACATTAAGCTGTAGTTCTGATGACTATAGTATAGCTTGGAGGAAAGACGAGACAGGGGGGATATGATAGAAACATTTAAATATATAAAGGGAATCAACACATTAAAGGAGGAGACTATATTTAAAAGAAGAAAAACTACCACAACAAGAGGACATAGTCTTAAATTAGAGGGACAAAGGTTTAAAAATAATATCAGGAAGTATTACTTTACTGAGAGGGTAGTGGATGCATGGAATAGCCTTCCAGCTGAAGTGGTAGAGGTTAACACAGTAAAGGAGTTTAAGCATGCGTGGGATAGGCATAAGGCTATCCTAACTATAAGATAAGACTAGGGAGTAATGAAAGTATTTAGAAAATTGGGCAGACTAGATGGGCCGAATGGTTCTTATCTGACGTATTCTATGTTTCTATATAGTGTCCCTTTAAGTAGTTTAAAGATACACTACTGGGAGTATAATTTCTGTTGAGCATTGTTATACAACGAGACACTGGAACAATATGGTGCCCCTAGAAAAGAGATTTTGGCCAAATATAGGCACAGTCTCTGCTAGGGACACTTGGTAGGTAATATGAGTAGGCTCACAAGACCTCTTCCAATACACTCTGTAGAAAAGTACGGAAAATTTTAGATTTTAGCTCACAGAGATGGTCCTGTGTTCGTTTTCAACTGTAATGTCTGCATTTAATCAATTATACAGCCTTGTTTAATATGTTTATTAATAAACTAAAAACACATTAATATAACCAGAATTTAATAAGTAATTGTGTAATACTTTATATGGCAAATCTGCTGAAAGAATTATACACTTCTTTTTAAAACCCATATCCTTTGGCTCCTTTTGTAAATGCTGCTATTAATATGTTAAATAAAACGTTTGTTTTCCATTCAGATACAAATATTAATTTCACTGAAACGCAGCTTTGAGTCTACCATACAATTGTCACTTACAGAGCCAGAACTTGTGACCAGCTTGCTAGACTCATCCCTCTAACTAAACACAGGGCTAATATTTACCAAATTAGTTGCGTCTGAGAATCTTGCCAATTCTCACTGAATCCCACGGTGTGACAATAATTTAATAAGGGAAACATGGCAAACAGTTTGGAAGAAAAAAAAAAAAGATTTTGATTACTTTTTTAAAATTTAGGTTATGCAATATTCGTGTAAAAGTGCGTGCTCACTTCAAGATATACAAACTGAATTTTCTTTCAAACTTCACAAAATGTTGTCAGGGTCAGATTTGTGAGAAACAACTTCAAAGGTTCTCTTGCTATATTGGAGATGGGTGATATTGAAAGAAAGTATCCAAGCAATGGAGGCCATGAACATAGTCCCTATTAAAGTGAATGGGGACTTCATGTGGACAAGTTTGAGAAAGCTTGGAGATACTTGACAAATAGGTAAAGTGTTACCTTATTTGGACATTGAACTGAACTGGACCCAGGCAGAGCTGGTGTGAAACGTGGAACTCTAAGCTACTTGTGTTCTTATGCTCCTTCTCCTAACATAGACAGCTCTAGTCAACTATGTTGTCTGCCTGTAGGTGCATCTTCTGTCTTCTCTTCTGAATGAGCTTGCAATCTTTCTCCATCTCTCTTGGAGCTTGTGATGGGTTTAAGACTGGTACGCACGTTTAAATTCTCAAAAATGCAGCTCAGAAAGAGATTTTCCTAACACTCACAGAATGCCATGCAGAAAAATACAAATACGTGTTTTCCTGTTTAGATGTCCTGCTTGTATATCATATTTCATATCATTTCAGTCTAATTACACATTCATGAAGAATGTTGTTTATGTTGTTCACAATGGTGTTTCTTCTTATTATTGTTATTCCAGTTCTCTCCTGTACTTTTATTATTATTTTGACAGTTTTCATTTACAAGTATTTTAATTATATTTCCAGGCTATTGAAACGTATTTTATTGTTTATTCTTGTAATTGCATCTCTCCCTTAATATTCCTTTTAAGCATTTTTTTGGCTGAACTTTCATTTTCAGATACCATCTTCAAATATGGCTTTCATCCTTTTTTTTTTTGTAATGCACTTTAATTAGTAAACACATATGTATACACAATGACATCATATTCTTTCTGTAAATTGCACCATACACCCAGACTCTACGGAGTTTTTACATTCTCCATTTTCAGAGCATTCCAAATCTCAAGAGTATCAAAATGTATCGCAAAATGCTATAGAGTAATAATCTATTCCATTTAGTCTTTTTAAGCTGAATTCTTGTCAGAGGATTTGGTTGGTTTGCCGACATTACCACTTACGATCACTGGTCCTCTCACTGGGCATTGGCTAAACTCCCGGTGGAGAAAGCAGATCATAATTACAAGAACAGAGCTAAATCATGCTTAGAACATAACACAAATAAAACCTTTTAAAATGGTAAATTGACCGACGTTAGGCTCATGCGAGATTTGTGACATGAAGCAGTGAAATCATCAGTCAAAGGTATCGGAATCACAAAATTAACATCTTTATTGCTGTAGTTTTCTGGTATTTTTAAATATATGCAGATACGACTGTTAATTTAGCTGAAGGGATCTGGGAGGTAATTTGGAATCAGATAAAGAGTTATATTAACTTGAGAATAAAGAGACAATCGTGGAGCCAAGGACCAGCAAATGACAGAATGTGTGGAATGTCTCCCTAAAGAGGGAGATGGATTTCACATAATTCACAAAATGTGAAAATCACCACTTCCTGGGTTCCAATGCCGACTGCCTAATCCTACAAAACTTCTGCTATGCCTGGAAGACCCTTACTAAGACGCTGTGTAGCCCTGCTGGAAGATTGAGCACCCGGAGCCTGCTCCCTACTATATAGAGAGATGAGGTGGATGGCCGCCGCCTCGCTTACCCTCTGACTGCCCTAGTGAAGCTCTAAGAAGCGTCTCCCCGGTCCCGTTCCCCCCTTCTTTGGACCGGTGGGGGTTATCCTGGTCCCCACTGGTCTGACGCAAAACAGAGATTGACAAAACAAAAAAAATCACAAAACGTTGTGCCCAGTGTACCATCATTTTCCTATAATTCACCTTGAAAGTAAAGTCAAAATGTCCAGAATAGGGCATACCAAATTCACTCAAGTCATCCCAGTTAATAATAACCCTATAACACATAGCTGTAGATTTATGCAACTTTTACCAAAGAAACCTGTAGACTTTAGTACTTTTATGACTGTGAGATAATATGGGAGAACTTTTTTAAATCCTATTGAGGCAAACTTGGAGTCATTGGCAGCCAAGCACAGGTTAGTATCAGCACTATGGCTGTAATAGCATGATGGGAGATGTAGTCTACAACATCTGGAATGTCAAAGATTGCCTACCCCTGTTCTAGATAATACAGTCAATTTGAACAGTGTATATTTAAGTGCCATGTTGCAACATCTCCCAAGGACAGAGAAGCCTACAGTAAAATACTGGCAAATTCTTTTATGTTTTCTTACTCATGAGAAGATTCTTCACTGCATATAAAAGTGACTTAAATTTTATATTTTTTTCATTCATTTTTCAAATATATTTTTCAAGATATTAAAATATAAAAATATGCCATATTAAAAAAATATATCGATATATGAAAAAAAAAATCACATTTTAATTATTTGTAACATCATCAAATCATGTTATCCAAAAATATTAAATCATTTGAAAGGTGTATCGAACAATTTATCCACTTGCATGCCAAATGACTGGCATATCAAAAGACAGACTCGTCGATTGCAGAGACAATACACAAAAAAATGTAAAATAAAAATTGACAAAGACGACTGTCAGGAGGATTGTACGTGAATCTTACATATTATTCTAACTGGCATTTCTATTTTACGGGTACACTATAGATGATTCGTATACTGTCCAGAAAAATTACTTATCAGAAGCATGATTCATTGATAACAGACCAATGCTAATGGAAAGTGTTGCATTAGCTGGAAAACAATTGAAATATTACAAAACCATCTTCCCGGTTGGACATAATAGCCCTTTGTACTTTCTAATTATACGGCAATATTATAATGGATGTGTAATAAATTCATTGACATGTATTCATCCCTCTATCTTACATTACAATTAAAATTGTTGTTTTTCTTTTTTTTTTATTCTCGTTGTGCTTTCCGCTATATCATACCGCTATATCATATGTGTTCTTTGTACTCGTTTTAAGGTTTATGTTATGAAATGGTAATTATGTTTCTAGCTTTCTATCCCATTAAAAATGGTTTTCATTACAATCCATAACTGGCGTCTTGTTATCTGATAACATTACACATCCTTCCTCACTATGGAATGTGGTCGGAAGACGGGTGAACAGAAAAGGTACTCAGTTTTAATTTAATGTATAAAAATCCATATTCCTTTTTCTTTTTGTTGTTGTTGTTTTTAACATTCCCTTTAATATTTTGAATAATTCTCTTGGGTATTGGTAAAGTAAAAAGGTGTACATTTATTGTGGTTCGTGCCAAGTACACTTATGTAACGGCTTATGACACACTGTACCAACATTACAGAATAATCTGGCATGAAGAGTTCACAGCCCAGCCTATTCCTGGTACTCAAAGATTCAAATAAGTATCTGTTTGAGCTAGCTCTGCTGTATCTATCTGTTACTAATACCTAACTCATGTGCAGCCAGGGATACAACAATAGACTGTGGATTTTGCCAAGGACACCAGGTGTTGTCTGTAAAAGGTTTGGAGCTATGCAGTTAGTGTCTATTCACTGCACCTTACGGATTTCCTCCTCTTGGAACTGGGGTGGATTTACCCATGAAATGCCCCTATACACAGGTAGCTTGGCATCCTCAGCCATCCAGTTTATTTGTTAGGTTCTCAAGTATCAAAACAGGACCATGGGGTGAATTACGTGTTGGGTTTTGCAGAATATAGAAGTACAGAATGTTAACGGTCAACTGTCACCCCAAAACAGATTTTAGAATATTAATCCTTTCATCAATTTTTCAAATGACAGATTTTTTTTTGGTTTTTAAGTAAGGTATATGTTAAAAATTAGAAAATGAGGAAAAAAAAATCGTCCCAGCCTTTAGTATATGACAAGAACCTTCAGCCATATACATATACATTGGGTCCGACCCTGGTTACATTCTGACAGTTGGTCTTCCCTGTGTCTGTGCAGGGAGTGAAGCAGAGAAGACCATAGAGATTAAATGCTAATGCCAAGCACTGTCTGACATAAGGTACATGTATATGGCTGAAGGGTCCTGTTATTTACTAAAGGTAGGGATGGGCTTTCCTTTTTTTTTTTTTTTTTGCATATACTTCATTTAAAAACTAATGTATTTCCTTTCAAAACCTGATGAAAGGATTATTATATTAAAATATTTTGAGATGACAGTTTGCCCTTTAAACAAGCAGAAGGGATAATTAATTTTACTACTTTTGAAATCAAGCGTAATTTACAAAACCAGTAACAATGGCTGGAATTCTCAACAGTAGGAATGAATAGAAATGGGTTCTGCACAATGTAATGGTCATTATAATTGGGCTATTTGGTTTGTGAGTGTTCTCCGCCTGAGTATATCCGCTGTAGTTCTCCCAAATCCCAAGTGAAGCAGTGATTAAAGCTCTGAGCTACCCAAACATTAGCCTAGACTTGATGAAGGGTACAAGAAGCCTGTTTTTTTATGGCTCAGTGGCCAGCTTATATACAAAGACAAGATACAGTAAAACACGCCCAGCACACTCCCACAATACGCCCCTGAATTTCTGTATCAGAATGACTAAGCATAAAACATAAAATATTAAAAATACATCTAAGACATAGAGGAATCCCCACAAATATTATATTCCCGGATAGCCTAGATCTGCGCCCAAGTGGTCCAAATAGCGCTCAGATCCCACGAATACAGCCACCGGGGTAAAGTTTTGACCGCACATGAGGCGTCTGCCCAAATCAGTACCAGAGATTCAGTGGTAGCGGACGGTCAATTTAGGAAGTTCCAAAATAAACAAAAAGATGAACGATTCTCCTGGCTCATAGGCAGCGTTTGTTCACCTTGTTCGTGCGAGCAAACTTATTGAACAGCGCTCTTCTGGCTTGTCGTGGAAAGAAGCAGGCATTTGTATGATTTTACCGGTGTTTGCAAGGTCAAGTGTCCAACTTAGAGCTGTACAACTTTGCAAGGTCAAGTGTCCAGACACTCGACGACCAAGTCCCGCTGCCTGCATTCGTGTGACAAGATGGCCGCCATTTTCTCCAGCACATGGCGTTCAGTTATTTAGTACCAAGTGCTATAATCTATTTACCAATTTACAGTTCGCTACATCCGCATTTTACCAAAAAATTATATTATTATAATTGAAAATGGCAACAACATATCACATATATGACGTTTTCATTCAATTAAGGTACAACACAGAACATAAGTCATTTAAAAAGATATTATTAAATATAAAGTAATGGCGACATCAGGGTAATTA